CACACGCTGTGCACCGCCTGCCTGCGCGAGCTGGCCGCGCGCGGGGACGGCCCGGCCGCGCGCGTGGTGCGCCTGCGCCGCGCCGTCACGTGCCCCTTCTGCCGCGCGCCCTCCCCGCTCCCGCGCGGCGGCGTCGCGGAGATCGCGCTGGACCCCGGCCTGTGGGCGCGCTTGGAGGAGAAAGCCCGGGCTGAGCGGGAGCCGATGGGGAGCCCGGCCAGGGACAGCGCAGACGGCGGAGGGGACGGCGACGACGACGGGGAAGAGCCGCGCGGCGAGGGGGCGGGACCTCCGAGCGCGGGCTGGCGCGCGCTGCGCCGGATTTTAACCAGGGTCCTGGCGCCGGCGCGGCGCTTGCGGCGTCCGTTGCCTAGCAATGGTGAGGGGCCCCCCGGGAAGGAGGCCGGGTACCGAGCGCGGAAGAATCGGGAGTCAGGTTGCACTAACCCTTTTTCTTCCCTCCAGTGCTCTACTGTCCGGAGGTCAAGGACATTGCCCACATGACCCGTTGCACGCTGTAACCGAGGAACCCGGGGTCTATGGCAGAAGGCAGGTGGGAGCAGCGTCCTCGGGCGCGCTCCAGTACAAAGGGTTGATGTCAAGACTACTCCCTGTGATGCCGGAATTGGTACGTGCGTGATGGAGTTAACAGACAGTGCCCTGGGTGGAGCGCCGGAGGCTCCCGGAGTGTGTCAGCACTGCATGCTCAGGATGGAGCGGCCGAGGGATAATGGAAACCAAGCCTGCCGTGGTGTGGGAAGGAAAATACAAAGCTGTAGCCTTGGCGTTCGTTCAGGGAGGCTGTTTTGAGCAACAGATCCCATTTTAGCAGTGCTCAGTGGTTGAAATGTTTACTTAAAAAAAAAAAAAATACAGGACGGGGGATAAGCTAATTTTCACATCAGGTCAGTCTCACTCATCTGGTTCTATGTGTTTGCTGGCATCTTCCTACTCTTGTTCCGTGTTCCCGAAATGACGGAGACGCCTCCCTGCTTAGGATTGGAGGCCTTCAGCTTGATAAGGCAGGTATGAAAACATCCAGAGGCATTTCTGTGAGGCCGTAGGTAAGGCTTATCAAAGATGGGTGAGCCACTGAAAAAGGAAGCAAAACTTAACCTTTTCTGTGCTAGCTTTACAGACTCTGTAGCAATACTGGGGGGAAAAAAAAAGCTCACATAATTTTATATTTGTGTCCCATAATGGGACATTGCTTATTATATGTGATTAGTTCTATTTTAAAGTCCTGTAAATATCTTACTGTATGTAGATTTAATCAAGACCAGCAGCGTGTTGGTCTCACAGCTTGCTAGAAGTGCAGAATTCGGGACCCCAGCCCACATTCCCTGACAGCGTTTTTTATAACCCCAGGTGGTGTGTGTAAGCAGCTCTGGTTTAGACTTAGTCACTTTGGGGTATCATTGTCGTCATCTGTGGGTGGAACATTTAAAACACTGATGACGCATTGCTTTTGAGTTCTAAAGTGACATTCTATTGTGAAAACATTTTCTGAGCTAAAAATGTGAATTTACAATAGACTTCTTCAAGATCTTTTTATTGACAAATAATGTATCAAGTTGTAGAGTATAAACCTCCGTTTCTAAAATGTTTTGTCACTTTCCTGTCTGTAAGTTTCAGCTTTAAATGTTTCCTTTTTGGAGGCCAGCATGTATCTGTTGTAATGTGCCTTATTTTCACTATTCTCCGTAGATGTGCTGCCAAAGCAAATGCTACATTTCTTCTGGTGTTTTGTTTCTGGAGCGTAAGCTCCCAGTGACTATCTCTGGCCAATAGCAGTGTTCATGTGTGTGTACTCAGTGTTCAATCTATTTTTAATGTAATGGTCTCAAAAATAAAGTATCTGGGCTCACTCAACCTGTGAAAGGCTGTTATTGAATGATATTGTCCAGAAGTTGAACTCCTTCAGAGACTGACCCAGTTCTTAAAAACAAACAAAATCTGCTTCCTAGTGGACTTGACCCTGTGGGCGCTGTAGTGACCTCTGACTCCTGGGGGAAGCAGTGGCTTGGAGGTGGAAAGCGGGTTTTCTGTGCGCCCCCTCTGCTTTCTACCTACCACTGTGGCCTCAGGGGTCCTGCTGTTCAGCTCTGGACACTGAGCTCATTGGGGAAAAGGTCTGACTTTGGTAAGTGGTCCAAGAGAAAAATGCAGAAAAGTCACAAAACAGAGGGGATTATCAGCCAGGTGTCGGTGGTGGCGCATGCCTTTAATGCCAGTGCTTGGGAGGCAGCAGTAGGAAGAACTCTTGAGTTCCAGGCCAGCCAGGGCTACACAGAGGAACCATGTCTCAACACAACAACAAAAGGGAGGGGACTATGAAGATAAACAGGACAAAGCACTCCTCCTCAGTTAACCTCCGAACCAGGATTCTCCCTCCCCCGGCAAAAATGACAGCACACAGAAAGGAAAGTATAATTTATATGTACAACCGATAACCTGATACAGAAGAAGGGTTTGGGACAGACCAGGAGTGGGAGCGAGGAGACCGGGAAAGGGGCAGCAGGGAGGATATGGGGGTTCCCCGTGCAACTGCCACTCCCTGGCCCTCCTTGGGGGGAGGGGGGGGGATGTGCCCAAATCTCCCTAGCCTGTCATCCACGAAGTTGCTCTGGTCCCACAGGCAAGGCAGGCTCCTGACTAGGCCCCTGGCCTGACCTGCTCAAATTTAGTCTGTACCCAGGCCTTGAGGAGGGAGGATTTAGTCCCCCAGAAACCTGAGCCCCAGGATGGGGGTCTGCCCCATCTGGCCTCTATTCTCTTTCCACCCTTTCTAGGTTGCCTAGAACAGGCTGGGGAGCTCCTCTTTGGCTTGAAGGAGTTTCACTGAACCATTACTGTTTTGGGGGGTGGTCCTTGGTCCCTAGGGAGGAGGACAGGATGAGGTTAGGGAGCCTGCGAGCAGCCTTTATTGTGAACAGCTCCTTCCCTCACTCGCAGCTGCTCCACCCTCCATGTGGGGGAGGGAGGGAAAGAGGCACCAGCGCGTCCTCATCCCTTCTCCCCCATCCCTTCTCCCCCAGCGCTATTTTCATCCTCTGTAACAAAGTTGCCCTCCCCTTTGAGGCTCCTCTCCTAAAGGCCAGGCAAGGCTAGCCCCCCCACTTTTGCAGAAGGTGGCGGTGATATTGCAGGAAAGGACTGGGGAGGTCCACCTCTTCCCCCCGACAAGCGTTTACTGGGAGGCTGCGTGTATTTGGTGGTGGGGCATATGGGTACTTGGAAGACCCTGGCAACCATCTCCCGCCCAGACCTCGTCACACCAGCACAGTCTTCAAGGTTTGGTGGGAAAGGTGTGTGGAGGTGGAGAGAGACAGGGGTCCTTCTTGAAGGGAGGAGTTACAGAGGGGCAAAAGGGCTCTAGCCCAGTGGTGGCCCAGGGTGGGGGGAAGGCGGAGGGTTGGCGGCGAGCCCCAAGGCCTGCGAGGCAGGCCGGCTCCGGGGTCTGGGCCGAGGTGAAGGGCAGGCCTGGGATCCAGTCAGTCGTCTATACAGATCACCTCCCCTGCTCGGGGCTCCTTCCGATCCAGCCCATCTGATACCAACGCCCCCACCATTTCCTTCTCTTTCTTCACCAGTGCTGGAGGGCCGTTGGTGGTGGCTGGGGAGACGAGTATGGACAGGTCAGTGCCCACACCCAGGTATGTGTCCCTGATAACGGCCCACCGTTACTGCTAAGTCACTTCCTGTCACTGCTGAGTTTTCCTATAAATGTACAAAGGCAGGGGTGAACTCTTCTTCCTCCTCCTCTTGGACCATGATGTGACAGGGTCTGACTCTCTCTAGCCTTTCTGAATTCCTGTTCATGTCCCTTTGAGGAAAGCAGGTAGAGGAGGCTCAAGCGGGAGACACGAAGCTGTATATGGGTAAGGCTTTTGGTTTCTTGGGGGTTTTTTTTGAGACATGGTCTTTCTACATAGCCCTGGCTATCCCGGAACTAGAACTCACAGAGATCCACCTGCTTTTGCCTCCCAAGTGCTGGGACCAACTGTCTGCAACCACAGCATACGCAGTGGTTTCTTTTTTGAGAAAGCATCTCACACAATAGCCCAGGCTAGCCTGAGGATTCTTAGGAGTCCTGCCTCAGCCCCCTGGTTGGCAGGAGGGGTTTTGACATAGGGAGAGAAGAGGGGCTACAAACGAAAGGCTAGAACAAGCCCGGGACAGCTCGTCCCTAAAGCACTGGACACGTACAAGGAAGCAGGACGAGGAGTCAAGCGGGCATGGCGAAAGTGAGGGAAGACCTTACCTGTGATGAAGGACCCCGCTGGCATCTGGCTGTAATTGGCGCCTGCGGCGGCCAGGGCCCCTACGGGCGCGGCGCTGAAGGCTGCCCCGTACCCCGGAGGTGTGGCGTAAGGCCCCGGGGGAAAGGCCTGGAATGGAGAGCAAGCTGAGGTTAGTTAGTCCACAGTCTAGGAGAGAGTCCTGTGGTACAGGCCAGGAGATCGGTGAAGACTGCTGGAGCAGGCTGGTTCTCCAGTTGCTTGCGTGCGTGCGTGCGTGCGTGTGCGTGTGTGTAGAAGGCGCAGTGGCAGGAAGGTTACCGGTGCTGGGTGAGGCTCGGTGCCCTTGCTGGCCAGCCGGCTGAGGATGCTGCGCTCCGACATCTGGAGACGGGCCGCGATGGGCGGTATTCGGGACAGCGTGGCCGGCAGGCGGGTCACATCTGCCTTCATGTCGCTCAGCAACTCCTCCAGCTGGTTCAGAACTGGGGCCCGGGCCACAGACAAAGAAGGGAAGAGAAAGGTGGAAAGAGAGATGGAGCCAGAAAAAGGGACAGTCAGATGGACAAGTACAGTCAGAAAGAGAGGACACAGACATCAAAGAGCCACAGGATCAAGTGACAGAAAGGACAGAGGGCAGGAAGAGTGATCCATTGGAGGAAAGCATCAGGCCAGACACCACACAGGACAGGACAGATGGAAACAAGAAAGAGAAGGAATGTGGAGAAGAGACAGGGAAGACATTGGAAGACATGGGGTCGGGGGTTGTCAGAACATCCCATACTGGAAAAGGGACTCAGGGGTAGGGTGGCAGGGAGGAAGGAGGCGGCACGGGGGTCTGTGACTTAATCAGCTTTAACACGCCAATGGGGAGGCGTGTTAAAGGGCTGGCACTGTTCGAGGGACCGAGAGCAGGGCCAGTCACTACGCCAGGTTCTGCTGGGTAGGACCTAACCTACAGCTATCAAAGCAGGAGGCTGGGAGAAAAGGTTGAGGGTGCAAGGAAAGAGTCATGGGGTCCGGGTGAAGGAGACACAGAGGAAGTGATCTGTGGGAGCGGAGCTAAGGTCACTGTCATGTATGCACAAGCCAAGGCTAGTAGGCTCCTAGTAGGCTCCCAGCAGGCTCCCAGAAGGCTCCCAGCAGGCACAGCGTGGCCCTGCTCTAGGAGGTGGCCAGACCCTACTGCTCGCTCGTGGAAATCCCATCAGGTACGGGCTTCGACAAGGGATACAGGCTAAAGCCCAAAAGGGTGCCAGCTGGGTCCGAGGCGGGTGAGAGGTCACAGGGCGGAAGGGTAAGGGGGCGAGGGGTTGGGAAGGTTTTGAAGGGGGCGGGGTGAAGACTTACGCAGCGTTGTGGGCCCTCCCCCGCGCGGGGCCACCGCGGCCCTTACCCTTGTGCAGGACAGCGTTGGCTGGCTTGTTCCCTGCCAGCGACTCCTTGGAGAGGTGCTGGTGGCTCTCGGCTAGGCACTCGGCCTCGGCAAAGCGGGCGTGGAGGGCCATGGCGGGGTGCGCCGGCTCCTGTGACAGGTTCAGGTAGGCCGCCCGCCGTAGCTGCTCCTCAATCACCAGCGCCTGCTCCAGGAGCTGAGGGCACAGGAAGAGGGGCGCACAGGTGAGTGGAGGGCGGCGAGGGACACGGTGCTGGAGAGCTACTGTCCCCGCTGTTGGCTCAGGAAGCCCCAGCTCCAGTGTGTGACCCGTGGCAACTCCAGTCCAGGCCACAGTTCCCATCACAAGGGGACACTGGATTACCTCAGCCCTCAAGATGTTAAAACTCCTTCCAGACCACTTCTGATGAAAACCCTTCTTCACCCCAACCCCTTCTTCCCTTCATTCCCACCTTGAACCTCCGGGCCAGGAATTTGTTTTTCATCTCCAGGAAGTTCCCCTTATTGGCTTCAGTTTTAAATGGTTCATTGATAATGGCAAACTGAGCGTCGTTCTGGATGTCTTGCCACCGGGCATAGCCATGGCTGCCAATGGAGGAAAGGGAACCATCAAGGAATGTAACTGAATGGCCTTGACTGTGAACATTTCTTCTCATTGGCCGGATTTCCCCACATGTGGCACAGGCCTCCCGGAGCAGACCCTCCTTCCCTACAGTTATCTGGGAAGAGGAGCCTCAACTGAGGAACTGCTTCCATCAGCTCAGGCTGGAGGCAGTCTACAGAACATTTTCTTAATTAATGACTGATGGGGGAGGGCCTGGCCCACGGTAGATGGGGCCACCCCTGGGCTGGTGGTTCCAGGTTCTCTAAGAAAGCAGGCTGAGCAAGCCTTGTAGCAAGCCGGAAAGCAGTACCCTCCGTGGCCTCTACATCAGCGCCTGCCTTGACTTCCCTGGAAGATGCGCTATAAGTTGTGAAATAAAATAAACCCTTTCCTCCCCTCCCTTTCCTCCTCGGTCATGGTGCTTATCGCAGCAACAGAAACCTAGGGCCCCTTCTCTCTGCTTGAGAGACCCTTCTTAACCTTGCACATACACAAAGGATACAGGACAATCCCGGCCAGAAGCCAGTAGTCATGCCTTCGGTGCCAGATCTCATTGAGTTTTCCTGAGGAGATAGCTGCTCTTTCCTCATTCTGCCACAGCGTGTGCAGCTCTGCAAAGACAAGAGCAGAAGCTGCAGACAGCTGGGCAAGGCACCACTCCAGCTGGCATGGACACACGCAGAGCTGAGAGACGGCTCAGGGTCAAAGGCTCCTTAGGGAGTAGAGGGGTCACTCAGCAGTTAAAAGCACTCGTGACTCACGCAAAGGACCAGAGTTCAGGTCACAGAACACACATGGTAGTTCCCAACCACCTGTAACTCCAGTTGAAGGGATCTAGCACCATCTTCTGACCTCCGACCTCTGGGCACACATGGTGTACATACACACACACACGCAGGCAAATGCTCACACACATCAAACAAACCTGGAAAAATTATATTCGAAAGAGGCAGGAAAACACTATGATACAACATACAGAATAAAGTTCATTATGAACAGGCTCATATTAGGATTAAGACAAAAAGCTGTACTAGAGACCAATGGGAGTTTGGTGGCACACTTAAAATTTACAGGACGGCTCGTTGCCAGCACGCTCCATTTCAGTGAGAGTACTGGGGAATGAATGTAGCAGGTAGCCTGGGGCACGTGACAAAGCCCAGCCTGGACAGGGAGGGGCAGGGGACAGACAAGTCCTCACACCTGTGAAGCCACCATCGGCAATGTTGAACATGAACCTTGGCTTCTCCACCTTCTCCTCACGGCGCCCGTTGGACCGTGGCTCGTCTCGAGGCGGCCCAAGTCGAAGCTCCCGGTCTGCTTTTCCATCTTCTGCTGGGCCAAATGGGGCAAAGCTCACGCGTCAGGACAGCCTCCTTCTAAGCCCCAAGACTACTTAATACGTAAACTGGGCCGGCTCTCCCCCAGCTACCCCTACCACCCGTGGTCCCCCAGGCTCCACCCCCAGCGCCCTCAGGGACTCGGGTCCAGGCCTTCCACCCATTACCTCTCTTGCCCAAATCCCCTGTTTCCCCCTCCGGCCTCTCCCTGTGTTCCTGCACATCCAATGGTTTCTCCTCCCCCCTTTCTCCTGGCGTTGGCTCTGAGGCTGTGGGAAGAGACAGGAAGGGAGGCTGTTACTCTCATTCCAGCTCCAGAAGCAGCAACTCCAGAATTCAAAGCCCCACCATCATAGTAGGATAACACACCCACCAGACTTCTCCCTGTCTCCCCGGTAACCAGGCTCCGGCTCCCCAGGTGCCCCTGGCACTTCCTCCTCAGCCAGAATCTTCCTCGGTTCTAGTCGTTCACCAAGTGATGGGGCTGGGCTGGGGGAGTCAACCTGGTGGAGGCCAGTTGAGTCAAGATGAGCTAACGACTTCCTTGGCACCCAGCGGTCGAGACCCCTCCAGAGCATCCACCCCAGCTCAGAGACAGCCAAGTGCCCACTCACCTCTGTCTCCATCTTTTCCCCCACTTTGCAAGTCTTCTCTGGCTTCTCTTCTGGATTTTCGGGGTCCTCTTTCTCCAGAGGTGTCCTTACGCCGTCGCCTTTCTCACTTGGAGCTGGAGTCGCTGTGGGCAAGGCAGAGTGCTATGGCTTGGCGGTGGCGTAAGTGTTCTCCAAAGGGCCATGTGTTAAAACTTAATGCTCAACGTGAGGCACTAAAATGGTAGAAACTGTCTAACTACAGAGTTTACAGGAGGGATTTTAGAAGATAATCAGGATTAGGATAAGGTCATGAATAAGGTCGTCAACCCTGGTAGCTCTTAAAAGACAGAGATGGGAGATACATATGCACACCCTGCATTTTACCATGTGGCATCCTGCGTGAGCCAGGATGCTAGGAGGAGGTCATCCCTGATGCAGCTTTGACCCCAAGCCTCCAAAACCATGAGCCCAAACAAACCTATCTCCTATACAAAGTTGTCCAAGTTCACGAGTCTCATCATGACCACATGAACGGCCTAACACTCGGGGAAACGCAGAGGTTCCCACCCGGCATCTGGCCGCATTGCCCGCCCCCCGACTCTCAATTACCAGGTTTAGAAGTGCAAGGACTGTTGGTGGCAGAAGCCTCTGGCGTGGTGGGAGAGGTTTTGGTTGGCGAGGAAGCCCTGGAAGAGCGTTTGGAGTCGGCACTGGGGTCAGGCATGAGCTCTGGCATTGACCAGCGTCCATTGATATGCTCAAACTCTTGCACCTGGGGAAGGGGTTGTGTAGGGAGGGTCAGTGCCTGGCACCCGGCACCCGAGAAGCCCTAGTCTCCTCCCTGTCACACCGGCCTGAGCTAGGACAGACAGCTGAGGCCAGAGGAGGAAGAGACTGAGTGGCTGGATAGAAGCTTGAGAGGAAAAGCTGGTACCTTCTTCTTGACGAGAGACATGACTCCGATTCGGGTCAACACCTGCTGGCGACTCAGCCCTTCCCGAGGGACCCCATCCGCAAAGGTCTCAGAGCCATCTGCCCCAGGCTCACACAGATGGCGCATGAACAAAGACACATAGGCCCTGGAAACCACGGGAGTGAGAGGAGGGTTACAAGGTCGGGGGTGGGGGGAGGCTCAGGCACAGAGGAAGACACAGGGCTCCCTGACCCCCTGAACTTCAACTCCCAGGTGGTCCCGAGACTCCGCCCACCAGCCCTCCACACCCTAAGGCCTCCACTGCCTGCCCCCTGCCCGTCAGCTCCCCAATGCCTCTCCTGGGCCCCATCAGTCAGTCTCTCATCCCATTCGCCAGTGCCTCCTGCCATGTTATCGTGGCCAAGTAACTGTGGGGCCAGGCCCACCTGGGTGAGGCGCCTTCCTCAAACACCTCTCCCACGAGGAGGTGGAGGGTGCCTGGCCTCTTTGTTCTAGGCTCTGATGAGGGGAAGTGGGGTAGGCTGAGCCCACCTCCCAGGAAATGGAGCCTGGATATGACGTAAGGTCGGGAGGTGGCCATCAGCTGAGTAAGGTCACATCATATGGTGGCCAGCAGGAAGGGAGCCACGTCCAGAGCTCTTCGCCCCACACCATCCACACTCACTTAAACTCCTTCTCAGTTTTGCCCCTCAGGTCTCGAACTAGCCACTGTGTGGTGAACGCGTCCTGTGGGGGCATCCCCCAGCGCATCACAGCATTAAGGAATGCCTTCCGCTGGCGTGTGTTGAACCCTAATACCTGAAGGTGGGGCAAAGAGGCGGGCTATGGAGGACCAGGAGCCGGAAGCCCTTCCCACTGCCGGGCCTGTCCTCAATTCCCAACGCTCCCACCCCACTTTCCCTTCAGAGATCATGCGGGTGCCTGGGCCAAAGCCTCACCTCAATGTTGCCCCCAACTCGAGCCAGCAGTGGAGGCAGCGGCTTGTCCTTTTCATTCCGGAGCTGCCTCTTTGACTGTCGACGCCCTAAGGGTAGGGGTGGGTCAGCGGAAGGGCGCTCCTCTACGCCCTCAGTCTTCCCGGCACCCACTGCCATCCCATAGAAAACCCAGGGCTGGCCTGGATCGCCTGCCTCCAACGCAGGCAGCGCTACTGCCTCGGAAGGCTAAAAGAAGCCATATTCCAAATAACGGCTATCTGACAGCGTTACCCATGGGAAGGTAGAGTAACACGTCTTCCTGTTTAGTTTCACTGTATGTGTTTGTACCTTCAGATGAGGTCTGTGTGGCCCAGGCCTCCAACGCCTGCACCTCAGCAATCCTCCTGACCCCCTGATGGCTGGGGCGTTACCCGAGAGCACCTGCTGCTGTGTGCCTATACACTCCAAACGTTCCTGCCTCTCCTCGGCTTTCCTGCCTAAGAAGCTTTCATTCCTTTTTGAGATAGTCTGGCTATGCAGTCAGAATGCCTCAAATTCACAATCCTCCTGCCTTAGCCTATGTGTGGACATCACAAGTGAGTGCTGCTATGCTCTTGCCCCCAAAACAAAGCTTTTCGTTACATAAAAAGAGGGGGCTGAAGTACTGGAGAGCTGGCTCGGCGGAGTCCAGGTTTCGATTCCCAGCACCCACAGTGGCTCACAACCATCCGTAACTCCAGCTCAGAGGAGCTGACGCCTTCTTCCAGCCTCCACAGGTACCGGGCAGAAGGGTAGTTGACAGACATATACGCAGATAAGACCGTGCACATAAAAATATAAATAAATACATCTTTTTAAAAACAACTTAAAGAAAGCCAGGAAGTGAAAAGCGAAGGAACCGAGACGAAGTCAAGAAAATTCCACCTTCAGGCCGCTCATCAAAGTCTTCATCCTCCTCCTCCGAGCCCACGGAGTACTCTGACTGGTTGTCTGTGAAGGGCAGAGAGGGTTCCACAGACAGCGGCAACCACGCTGGGGCCCATCCACTTGGACGTTCCGCCCTCCACCCCGGGCTGGGTCCTCGCAGACTTGGTCATAGACCCTGAGCCATCTCCATGGGTACCTCCTATCTCACCACTCTGACCCCTGCCACAGCCACTCTAACAGTGAGGCCCTGGGTGTGCCCAGGGCCCCTCAGCACCCCCACAAATCCACCCTGCCCTTCCCTCTACAGCCCTGGCTGCAGAAGTCCAAGCTTTGCCTCTTCCCTCCCGCCTCTCGCCCGCGGCCTCACCCTGGTCCTCCTGGGCGGCATCGTTGTAGTTGACCTGCTTGCGCACCCGCTTGCCCTTGCCCAGGTTGCGGGCCAGGTCCTCCTGCTGCTGCTCATAGTGATGGCGCAGCAGCTTCTCCCAGTAGTCGGGGTCCACGTTCTCTTCCTGCTTGATGATCTCCCGCTCAATCTCCTCGATCTGAAGGGCGGCACGGTGAAGGCTGGCGGCCTCCTTCCTCAGACCCCCGGCTGCACAGCAATCCCACCCACTGGCCAAATACTGCTTGATGCTTTCTAACCCGGCATCTGGTGTCTGGGCAGTGGACGTCTGTCCTGGCTCCTCTTCCCTCAGCCTTCAGCCTCCTTCTAAGCCTCTCCTCTACTCCCCTCACTGCCTCCCACAGACTCGGCAGCACCAGTCGGTGACAACTACCCCTCTCTGTGCCGAGGGCTCCGAGGCCCAGCCTCATCTCGAGGAATGAGAAATTGTTTGAGGTCACTGCTGCTTTTACTGAGGACCAGATGACAGACTAAATCAAAAGCAAGAGCGCCGAGCTCTCCCACTGCAAGCATCAGTGAAGGGCGCTGCCCTTCAGAGGTGAGCTCGGAGAGACAGGGTGTGGCCCCAAAGTCTCTCACCTTGTCCTCCTCACGCACAACGTACTGCGCCACCTTGAAGGAGCTGAGGTACTCGTTCATGTTCTGCACATCCGTGTCCTCGGTGGCATCCTGGTTCCGGTCCAGCAGGCGAGCAATGGCCTCGTTGTCGTAGTGAATCACACTGCTGTCCTCCTCCTTATTCTCCCCTGGCAGAGACAAGCAGCAGAAGAGGACCTGAGGTGCTGAGGTGTCAGCCAGAAACTCAGGCAGTGTGGCCAGGATGGGTGAAGCGCTCCACTCCCCACCCACCACCCTCCTCCTCATGGGCTCGCCAGGCAGCGACTCCCTGGGGGCTCTGGACTCCCCGGGGGCTCTCGACTCCCTGGGCTCTAGTCAAGGGTTTTTGCTTTGTTTCCTCAGGCGGCCAACCCTTCCCTCAGGGCTACCAGAAAGAAGGTATTTGTCCTTTACAGGTTAAGAGGAAAGGTTTGTTTTGGGGTTTTATTTGGCAGGGGTCGGGAGTAGGGTGAGGTTCCAGGATGTTTTTCCTCAGGAGAGACTAGAATCCGCCTTTGGGGAGCTCGGGAGCAAGTCCTCACCCTCGTTTTCATCCTTGAAGAGCTCCTCGGTGCCAAATTTGAGGATGTCGTCCAGCTCCTGCTTGGACATGGAGCCCGCCTTGGAGCCCAGGCCTGGCCGCACCACCAGGTGGGTAAGCATCATCTTCCTCTTCGCCACCTGTGTGATCCGCTCTTCCACAGACGCTCGGGTCACAAACCGATAAATCATCACCTTGTTGGCCTGCCCAATCCGATGGGCTCTGCTGAAGGCCTACAGGGGCAGGAGAGGACAGAGGTCAGTTGGGGAGTGATGGAGAGAAGCTGGTGCAGGACAGGGAAAGGAGCCGGGTTGGGAGAGGCCTTCTCCTCTCTGCTCCTGGGCAGGACAACCTCCTCCTCAAGCCCATGTCAACTTGCTGAGTGTGACAGGAAATGCAGGTTCCCACCTGGATGTCATTATGGGGGTTCCAGTCTGAATCAAAGATGATGACCGTGTCAGCAGTGGCCAAGTTGATGCCCAGGCCGCCAGCTCGGGTGGACAGGAGGAAGCAGAACTGCTGGGCACCAGGAGCTAGGGGGCGAGAATTAGGAGGCCAAGTTCAGCCCTGGCTGCTAAGTGCTCTCACTACAAACCACTCTATCTAACTCTTAGCCTAAGCGTCAGCATCCCCTCACTATGCCCCATCCTAAGTACACCGCAGAAGCTTCTCAGACCTTCTCTAACCAGGGACCAAGGAATTTCACTCTCACCATTAAACCGATCAATGGCCTCCTGCCTAAGAGCACCCGTGATGCCACCGTCGATACGTTCATACTTGTAGCCTTCGTAGTCTAGGAAGTCCTCCAGAAGGTCTAACATTTTGGTCATCTGAAAAAGGGACAACAGGAGTCCAGGAGACCAGCAGTAGCTTGGGCCTAGCTCGCACCACTCCCCAAGCCTTGGATGTGAACATGCCCACCCTGTCTCATGTTCGCTGTGCACCTGACTGTCCGCAGCCCTCACGGCTCTATCTCAAAGTCCTTTGAGATCATTTCTTAGGAGGCACAGTTCTCTGAGACCCCTGAAAATGTGCCAGAGAAACCTGTAAATACTCTGAAAGTCACATCAAATGTGTGTGGCTTTCTCCAAAGCGAAGAGGCTCTGAGCTCCTGGCCAGTGCTCACTCACTAGGCTGGCCACTGGTGCTAGCCTCTTCTTAGGAACAGGGGTCAGACCCAGGCAGGAGACAGCCAGGCCAGGCCTTTTTGCTTCATTTTTAAAGACAGGACCTCACTGCGCAGGTCTGGCTAGCCTGAAACGCACTCTGTGGACCAGGCTGGACTAAAGGCTGATCAAACCCAGCCCAGGCCTTCTTTATTTTGATTTGGTTTGTTTTTCTGGTGCTAGGGATCTAATCCATAGCCTCGGGCAAGCTAGGGGAATACTCTACACTGAGCCATCTTCAGCCATCCCCTCCCTCTCCATCCGAATACACGGTCTCTCTAGTTTAGACTGGCTCTGTCCTCAGCATCGGGATTAGAGGCAGATGCCACCTTGCCTGCCTGACTCAAGCTAGCTTATGAGCAGGACCTCACTCTTTCATAGCAGAGGAGCCACAGGAATAAGGACAGGGCCTGAGGCCCAGATGGCAACAGACAGAAGCGAGGGGAGAGGGAGGGCCACCTGTGAGAAGATGAGCACTCTGTGTCCTTGCTCCTTCAGCTTCCGCAGCATCTTCTGCAGCAGCAACAGCTTCCCCGACGACTTGATAAGTGCCCCGCCCTCATAGGCCCCGCTCGGGAGTTTCGGAGACTCCTGAAAAGAGGGGAGAGGAGGGTCAGGCATGCTCCTTACTCCTACAGTGCCTACAAAAGCCAAAACCTTAAATGCAGTTTCCACGCTTTCCAGTTCCCACCCCCCCCAAGGTCCGACTCCGGCCCCACCACCCAGCTTGGCTCCTGTCCTCAGGCAGACCCTACCATAGCAGCCACAGGGAAGAGGTACGGGTGGTTGCAGCACTTCTTAAGATCCATCATGATGTTAAGCAGCGACACCTGGTTCCCACCGCCTCGTGAGTTCAAGGCCTCAAAGTTCCGAGTTAGGATGTACTTGTAGTATTTCCTAAAGAACAGGGTAGGATGCACAAGAGATACAGATAACCAAGAAACCGCTTCTTTTTTTCAAACAGAGTTTCTCTGTGTAACCCTGGCTAACCTGGACTCACTCTATAGACCAGGCTGGCCTCGAACTCAGAGATTCACCTGCCTCTGCTGGGATTACAGGTGTGGGACACCACTACCAGGAGGACCCACTTCTGATGTGGCGCTTGATCCCAGCTCCCCGAAAACCCCACGCCCACGTCCAGACGGCCTGTCCCAGGCCTCACTTCTGCATCGGGCTCAGCTCCACTCGGACGATCAGCTCCGTCTTGGCTGGCATGTTCTTGAAGACGTCTGCCTTGAGTCTCCGCAGCATGTGCGGCCCCAGTAAGTCATGCAGCTTCTTAATCTGGTCCTCTTTGGATATGTCAGCAAACTCCTCCAGGAAGCCCTCCAAGTTGCTAATAGGCACAAAGAGATAAGAAATCAAACAAGGGGACAAGTTTTTTGCCTCCGTCTTGGGCTCTATTTTCTATGTCAAATGAATCTTCCAGAACTCTGTGAGCTGCTTTCCCCCTGCCGACTGCCCTCCATGAGCCACTTACTTAAACCTCTCTGGAGTGAGGAAGTTGAGAAGGTGGAAGAGCTCCTCCAGGTTATTCTGCAGTGGGGTCCCCGTCAGCAACAACTTATGGTCTATCTTGTAGCCATTGAGGACCCTGAAAAACTATAGACAGGGGACAAGGACAGCAGGAGAAGGGTTTTCAGTGGCAAGCGGCTGACTCACCTCGGAGACTTCTCCCTGTTGCCAGGGCCTGAATTTCCATTTCCCTTAGGATCACAGACCCAGTCCCTAGCCCCTGCCCTCCTCCTGGGACAGGAGCCTGACCTCCCAGGTTACAGCCCCGGACTAGTTCTGTTTTCGTTCCTTTGTTTAAGGAGCAAGGCCGGTGGGCGGCACAGCTTCCGTGCCCGCACTCGCCCCGGGGCCTCGCTCACCTTGGACTGGTTGTTCTTGAGGCGGTGAGCTTCATCCACCACGAGACATGCCCAGCGGATGGAGCCAAGCGCTGCCTGGTCGATGGTGATCAGCTCGTACGATGTCAGGAGGACATGGAACTTCACCTGGGCCTCTCTCTGCCAACAGAAGCATTGCCCATTCATCTGCCCCCATACACACCTCCGACACGCCCAGCCTGCCCTTAGCAAGAGCCAACCACGTGACTCCTCAGGAAGCCAGCCAGCCTAACTTCACCCCCGAACAGGAACTAGGGATCACAGCCCTATTTCCACCCGAGACCAACAGACAGGGAGGGCTGCACGTGCTCAGGAGAACCCACTGCAGAGCACAGAGGCACAGAGGCCAGGAGAGGAACTCCTGGTTGGGACAATGAAGTGACAGACCTGCGTTGTCTTACGCATGAGACAGGGGACTTGCCTTCATCTTGAAGGCTTTCTTCCCGCCTTTTATGGCGTTGTCCTCAAAGGAGAACTCGTTCTCTCGGATAATGGCCCGGCTGTCCTTGTCGCCCGTGTAGGTGACCACGTAGAACTGGGGTGCCCACATCTGGAACTCCCGCTCCCAGTTGATGATGGTAGACAGTGGAGCACTCACCAGGAAGGGGCCCTTTGTGTGGCCCTGGGGGTCAAGGGTGGACTCCCGTTAGCTTGGCTCAACGGTGGACACCAACCCGCTGCCCGCCCTCCGCCCTCCGCCCCCGCCCCCAGGCCCGGCACCGGCCTAGAAGCCCACACACCTCCTTGTAGAGTGAGTAGAGGAAGACGATGGTTTGGATGGTCTTGCCCAGCCCCATCTCGTCGGCCAGAATGGTGTCGGTGCCTTGCGCCCACGAGAAGCGCAGCCAGTTCAGCCCTTCCAGCTGGTACATGTGCAGGGTGCCCCCCGTGGCCGTGATGAACCGCGGCTGTGTCTCATATTTCACGGTGGGCTGTGGGGTGCGGACATGGCAGGGTTCACAGGCGAGCGGACGGTTCCCTGCCCCACCCTGGCACGGGCATCAAGGTGAATTACAATTTTCTCAGCTATGGACTGAGCTGTGGTCTTGTCTTCTGCCTTCCCCGCCTCACCCTAAATCAACACCCAGCAGCACCACCAGGAAGGGCTGGCTGGAAGAGGGCTGGGCTGCTGCGCCCACAGAACCCCCAGCTCCTGCTCAACAGTGGAGAAGAGCCGCTCAGGGGCCACGGCCAGCTTTAGGAAGTCGATCCCGGTGCTGGGAGGCAGGAGAGAACTTACGTCATTGGTGGGTGAACTGGGGGGCCCGTCACCCTGTAACTCCTTCTTCTTCTTCTTGTACTTGCGAGGCTGTGCAGGGTCCTCACCCATAATTAGCTCACTGAGGAAGAGAGGGTATCTAAGTGAGGCCTGGTCCTCGGGAGCCCTCCGCCTTTCCCACGTTAATTCCAGGCCTGCCTCCCTCTGCCTACAACCTTCCCTCAAATTCTCATGTCTTCTTTCTCCAAAGCATTTAAAGAAGAAAATCTAATTACAGTTACAGAAGACAGAGGTCAAAGCACTTGTGGAAACTGGTTCTCTCCCTCCATCCTACGGACCCAGGGAGTGAACTAAGGTTGCCAGCCCTAGCATCAAGTACCCACTCAGCTGGCTTTCGGGCTTTCCCCTCCGCTCTCTCCCCTGACTCCTGGGGTCCTCGAGAGCCAATCCTTCTCTTCCAGGCATCCCCAGGTATCCTCTTACCCATTCCTCAGACCAAATCTCATTTCCCCTTCTTACTTTCTTAGATTTAGTTTATTTTTGTGTGTCCGTGTGTTGTGGGGGGTAGGGCTGCTTGCCCTCACTGACCAGGGAGGGTATCTGTTCCCCTAGGCCTGGGAACCTCCAGACACGGGTGCTGGGAGCTGAGCACTGATCCTCTACAAGAGCTCTCAGCTGCTGGGCCAACCCTCCAGGCTGGCCAGATCTTAGCACTCTGCGTACCACCCTACCAAAGCCATCCAAAACCCAGCCAAGGCTGCCAGTGCCCACGGCTGGCTCTGTCTGCAACTGTGTCTTCCCCTTGGTTTTCACGGCCCATGAGCTGCCCTCACCGATGTCTCCAGTAGCTTTGCTTATGGTCTTCATATTCAGGGATGTTCATTTCATCCTCCTCCCACGTAGACTGGTCATAAGGCAAATCCTTCCATTTCACAAGATAGTGGTAATTCCCCTTCTTATCCATACTGTTGGGCAGGAGACCGAGAAGAGAAATATGGATCACACATTGCACAAAGTCCTGATAAATGAAGTGTCAACAAACAGCATCTATGATCTCAGCCTTCTCAGGACAGTATGTAGAGGCCAACAACACTGCTGGAGCCCAGGGTCACACACTTACCCAGACAGGACTTCTGGGTGTCTAATGAGGCAGCCAGGGACAGAGGCCCTAGAGTGGGCAGCAAGCAACCCGGCAAGCGTCCCATGAGGCCCTCACACTGTGGTGTAAAGGAGCTCGTGCGAGGCAGCAGTCAACACTGCTCTGGAAGCACATCTGGATGACCTGTTCCTCAGTTTCCCAAACCCATGCCTACGCTACCAGAGACAAAATGATGCTGGACTAGCTTTCTCCCTGGTTTCTCAAGTCCCCTAGAAGAGGCAGGACCAGAATGGCTGGAGCTGCAGATAGTCAGCAAACCCTGGTCATCTGGCCTGTCAGGGCCCTCGCCAGAGTTAGAGCGATGCCGCAGTCCGGCCGCCTCCCCCAGGCCCTGGGCTTGCCTGTGGTTGATGATACGGTGGACGGTCATCCACTCCGGCTTGATGCCGAAGCGGTAGTACTTCTCCTCCATCTCGGCGTAGTGCGGGTCCTTCACTTTGCGCTTATCGCTCTTCCCGTCGTCCTCGCCAGAGCCGTAGTCCAGGGGCGGGGGCTCGTCCATGTCATTTTTCCGTTGGTAGTTGCGGTACATTACCAAGTGGAAGATTTCCAGCTGATGGGACAGAGAGGGGGAGAGAGGCGATAGCCTCCGGCGACAACACGCAGGTGGACGCGCAGGTGAGGAGGGACAGTGGAGTGGAAGGTGCAGCCTCGGTACCTGAAGCTCCTTGGCCCAGGAGCAGTGCCAGTAGGACAGGCCCACCCACTTGACGAAGAACTCCCGCTCGGATCTGCCCTGGAGAGGGCGAGGCGGTGGGGCGTCTGGGTTCCCGGCTGCCTGCTGCGGTGCGGGCACTGCCACAGGAGGCTCCCCCCATCGCCAATGCAAGATCTTCTGAACGCGGCCCTTTAGCACAGGACACTTCAAGGGGGACAGACAGGAAGAGGAGGAAAGGCAAGGCGGGCCCGCGTTAGGGAGGACAGTGGTGCGAAGCGGCGGGGGCTGGCGGCGGGGCGGGGCTGGCAGGCCCTTACCGTGCACCGAGGGCACAGCCACTCGCCGTTGGGGATGTCGGGCAGCGGGGGGTTCAGGCAGTGGATGTGGTAGGAGGAGATGCACGCGTCGCAGCACAGCAGCTCCCCGCCGTCCTTGCACACTCGGCAGTACTCCATGTGGTCATCCTCCTCCTCCTTCTCTCCCTCCTCCCCCTCCTCTTCGTACTCCTCCTCCTCTTCCTTGGCCTCCCACTGTACCCCCTCCTTCTCCTAGGAGGCCAAAGAGCAGACAGAGGTAGACAGAAGGAGACACGGAGAGACTGGAAAACGGAGCCAAAACCAAGATGCCCGAGCCCTGGGCGTGCACAGAAGTCGGGGGGGTGGGGGCTACCAGACAGGGTTCCCTGATCTTCCAAAGCTACTGACTCTGGGAACAAAGGGTCGAGAGAAGGACTCCCTTAGGACTCTGGACTCCTGAGTACCGACTGCTGAGCAGCCCGGAAGACCAGAAGAGAAAGCAAGACAGAGAGGTGGGAGCGAGGGCACCAGGTACTCACGCAGTGCGGGCAGCTCCACCTGCCCTCAGGGGCCCGGTCAAGCTCAGGGTCGAGGCAGACGAGGTGGTAGGCACGAGGGCAGGTGTCGCACAGAATGATCTCCCCACCCTGCTGGCACACCTCACAGTAATCCTGGTGGTCCGTCTCGTAGCCATCAACCTCCTCCTCCCCGGCCACTGCGGGGCAGCCCAGGACTGTCACATACCCCGGTCACAGCAAGGGCACAGAACAAGAAAGAGAGATTCAGGGGAAGACAGAGGAGGGTTGAACAGAGGTCAAAATCTGAAGTCAGAAGGACAACAGAAGAAGGTGGCGGCCAGAGAGGCTCGTCATAGGCGCATCCTCACCCTTCTTCTTCTTCCTTCCCGGCCGGCCTCGCTTCACTTTCTTGGCACGGACAGGGCCATCAGGCCGGCCCGAGGCACTGTGGATGCTGCCGCTGTCCAGGTCTGACTCCTCGGCCTCAGGTTCAGGGCCCTCGTCACTCTGAAACACGTACTGCCCACAGCCCCACTGCCATGAGGATGGCACATTTGATTCTGCCCACCGCCACCTCCCGTCCCCGACCATAGGGCCCCACCTCCCCCGCTCCACCCACAGCTTCAGCCCTCAGCACCCCAGTGTTGAGCACACAGGACGGGGTGCTCACCGAGCCTGCCTTCTTCCTCTTGCCACCCAGCAGCCCCAACTTGATTTTCAGGGGCGCCATCTTCTTTCCTCGAAGCTTCTTGCGTCCATCAGGCACTCGGGGGCTCTTGTTCCGCCTCTTGTGGCCTGGACCTGAAAGAGAGTAGGGAAGAGGGGAGAAAATCCATTGGCCATGACACACCCTCTCGGAGTAAGAGCCGTAGGGGAGTCTGTACTGCGCCACAGACGTGGCTTCACTTTCCCCTTCGTGGGAAGCGTTTCTCCCCAGCAACGGAGGCTGGAAAAGCCTGAGTTACAGAGTCCCGAAGCCATGCACTTTGGAAAGCAGGGGAACAGAGGTTGGGAGAAGAGGGTTCCTACCTTTGCCCTCTTTGGTTTTGGCTCTTCGGATGGGTGGGGGCTGGATTTCAGGAGCAGGGGGTGGTGGAAGGGCAGGGGGGGGTCCAGACGGTGCTATGGGGGTGGCTGAGGAGGCGGCAGCTGACACCTGTTCGGCCACCGCTGCCGCCGCTGCCGCCGCCGCGGCCGCCACAGCAGCTGCTGACCCTTTGAAGGGGTTGTTGGCGCTGAACTCTCTCCACTTGGCTCCCAGGATGGTCATCATCTTAGACATCGGGATCTTAGGGTTCTTCTTAGCGATCAGGGGCCTGAGAAGGCAGAGGTGGGAAAGTCAGACCCTTCACAGATGGGCTGGGAACCCTGTCATCTCCCCGTACAATTAAGTCTATGCTGACAGTCCTGGCTGGGCAAAAATACATCCTATTAAGACAAATATTAATATTTACGTAATAACCTAAGTAAAAAGAAGTAAAAGGAAACCATCCTGTCAAGGAGCAGTCTCGCAATGGCTCAGTTGGATTTTTGCATTTTACTAGATTCTATGGAACCTGAACAAAGCTTCCCTTAGGAGAGGCTGAAAGAGACAGACGTCACGTTTTCCTCTCAGGGCTGTGCTAAGCTTCTCTACGGACATCCACAGCCCTCAGTGATGACAAGCACACTCTCTGCAGCGGGGGAGGGAAGGCTTCACCCAGGGCAGGACGAGTCAGGACCCCGTGAGTGTGGACACCAACAGCCGAGGGCTCTGCAGCCAGCTACCCCCAAACCCGCTCAGGCTCCTGAAGGCATTATTTCTAGTTTACAGAGGAGGAAACGACGCCAACAGAAAGAAGTGAGTGGCCCAAGGTGAAGCCAGGGCACGGAACTGCTGTGTTAACCCTCAGGGTGCTGTCATGAGCCTCGGCTTGAAGGGTTGTGAAGGCCTGAATGAAAACCCTTGGACAATAGTGTCACCCAGGTCTACTCCAGAGAAGTTACGGAGAGGAAAGGGAACTGTCAGAGCAGAAAACGGGATCCTTCTCAGCCTGTCTTCTCGTTCTGGAAAGTTCTCTACTGTAGTACTAGCCTCTTGACCTCTGCCCCCACAACCTGAGGGAAAGATGGACTCTTCGCTGAGGTTGCCAGATCCCAGCCCAGGAGCAGACTGAAATTATGTGTGTACAATTATCCGTGTATTTGCTGTAAATTTCTGTAGGAAGCATTTTCTTAGATTTTCCACAGATCCAGAGAGGCCCAGGCCACAGCCCAACAGGAAGTCTATGAAAGAATTCCCAGTCCCACCGTACCTCATGAACTGACTGAAGGCTTTGTAATTCGTAAGTGTGTGATAGTCCTCCTCAGAGAACACGTGTTCCACATCCTCCAGGCCCCAGGTCAGAAGCAGGGTTGCTGATGACTTCTGTTCCACCTGCTGAGTGGGGCAGTGCAAAAAGGTGAGGCTTTGGGGAGCCTCTCCCCCAGGCATCCTTCAGCACCCCACTCAGCATCCACCGAGTTCCCGCTCCCCGCTGCAGTCCAGTCCCCAGGCCTTACACTTACACACTTACACACACACACACACACACACACGTCCTTTATCTCCCCCCCCCCCGTCCACCTTTGGGGTGACGCCTCACTTCTGTGGTGACACCTGACTTCCGGCTCACCTTCTGTCCCCCATCTCCTTCCCCCCTTTTCCTTCTCTTCGTTTTTTTCTCTTTTTTCTCTCGGTGCTTCCGTCTCCGTTTCCGACCTGGTCCAGTTCCATATTCGCTGCCTCCACTCTCTGACTTTTCCCGGTATTCATCTCGCTCGGAGCCAAATTCCTCTTCACTGTCCTAAGGAAGAGAAACAAAAATAACATTTATTCATTCTTAACACGTGCCAAGAACTGTTCTTAGCTCGGAACAGAACTTATCTCTTTACAACTATCCTATGAAACAGCAATTGATCTATATTTATTCACTTTTTTTTTATAGAGAAAATTGAGACACAGGGAGTTAGATAAACTTCCCGGGAAGACAGAGACTTAGGCTCTGAATTCATGCAAACTGCCTCCAAGACTGGTTTTCTTTTCCCTTCTGTACTGGGAACTAAACTCAGGGCCCAAACATGTGAGGCAAGCTCTCTACCACTGAGCTACACCCTTGGCAAGACAGTGTGCTCCTGGCTGCTTCCCTCCCATGGTACAGCAAGTCACGATGACAGCTGGACTCTTTACTAGGTTGCAGAAAGCAAGGTTCGGGTCCAAGAGAAGAGAAAAGAGAAGCATGAGGGAGGAGCCAGGCCTCTCCAGGTGACCCGGACCATAGGAAATGGAGTATCTGGGAAGGGGCTCCTGAGCCTCGGCACAGTGTCAGGGAACCCTGGCACTCACAAGCTTCCTGCGTTTCCGAGGCTTTCCTGGCTTGTTTTCCTTTTGCTTCTTGGGTCCTTGCTTTCTCTTCTTCACACCCAATGCTGAAGGCAGCAGCCGAATGGCATCCTTATCTTTGGAGAGAAGAGCACAGGAAAGCCTGACGTGGAGCCCAATCTCTGAGGCCCTTCGGCCATCCCCTTCTTACCCCCTCAGTCCAACTCTCTAGGAACCCAGGCAGTTAACGCCTCTACAATTTGCCGCCTTTGAATGGATGCAAACAAAGTGTTTCTAGTATTCTGGGATCCTCTGGTTCTGGATGGGAGGTCAAGGGTCAGAAAGGAAGAGTAGCCAAGCCACTCCCTTTTCCCCCTCCTACTAACAAGGGACCAGACTCTAGGCCACCAGCTCAGACTGTGGCAGGTCCTTTCAGTGCTCGCCAGGGCTCCTCCTGCCTTCCCCCTCACTCTGCCAGCTGGCAGCTTGCCCAGGAACCGGGGAAGCCATGCCCAGCTGCTGGCCTGGCCTGACCCCAGCACTTGGAGCAGGGAGACACAAGCTGGCAGCTCCCTAAGCCAGATGCTGAGAAGGGAGAGCCAAAGGTGGCCACCTGGGTCCTCACACTAACACCCTAGGGCCCTGACATGCTTTTTGCCAAGAGGGAGGCCTCTGTTTACATTTTCTTAGATAATCACACCAACACAGCACTGGAGCAAGAGAAATCCTCAGCTCGTCATCCTACCCTCTTGCCCACGGGACCAGTATCTGCTTCCAACACATCCTAACTCGGCAAGCGGAAGTCTACCCAATTCCCTAAACACGCCGCCTCCCAGAGGGCTGGAGCCCGGCTGCCTCTAAATCTACTCTCAGAGGCTGTGCCCCCTAGCCCAGCCACGGCCCTTCCTTCACCTGGCATGCTGACCCATCTATATCTAGGCACTGCAGGGACACAAGCACAGACATAATCCCAGACAGCACACCTGCCATGTGCAATCTCGCATTCACTCACACTCGCTCACACTGCGCGCACGCCCGCCTGTGCCTGCTCCAGCACAGCTATGTCCCTGGCTCTCTCCACAGACGGCTCTGTGAGAGGGCCCAGAGCAGGCCCTTCCCTCCGATCCCACCACCCCCTTCTCCCTGACCCCTGCCAGTCTGCTCAAGTTTGGGGACCAGAGCCGTTTCCCACAATTAAGCCCTGATGCCACACAGAAACAGGCCCTGGTTTACCTACCACCCTCACCAGTCACTAGACTAACCAGCCAGACCTGTCTTGTCCAAGCAGAGGCAGGTACAGCCAGAGGGGAAAGCCAGGGCTCGGCCCCGCCTCTTGCTCTAGGACACAATCTTCCCTCCCAAAACAGCCAGGGGAAATTAGCCACAATTAACACCCTAGGCCGGGGTTTCCTATCTGATGCTACCTTTCCTTCTCCCTCCAGTCCCACGTCCCTGGGAGCAAAGAAGGCCGCTCTAGGATGGGGTGCGGCCAGGCAGAGGGGCTGCGTGCCCGGAGGCAGTGTGTGAAAAAAACGAGCCAGGGCTGTAGTGGGACGCCAGCCCTCATGCCCAGCAGCTGGCTCCCCTTAACTCCAGGGGCTTGGGTTAACGCGAACATGGAAACGGGGCAAGCGGCAAGGGCAGGCCAGCGACGCCAACTGGCTAAGGATCAGGGAAGTGGCCCGCCCGGGTCACCCTGGGTGTGTGGGTCGAGCGAGCCCGTGAACTCCACTCCCCGCCCAGCCCGGCAGGAGGTCCCCAACTTCAGGCCGACGTCGGTGGCCAGCAGAGGGGAAGAAAGGCGAGGAGAGGCAAGGGAGGGTAATAAAGCAGAGCCGAGCCCAACCTCTGCCTCGGCAGCCTCTCAATGCTGGCCGCGGGCCCAGACTCTCCCACTGCGCGGCTCAGATCTCGGGGAGGTGGGGAGGGCGAGGGCGGAGCCTGGCGCGAGCCTTCCCCGCCCCCCTCCGCTAATCTCGCCATCAATCTCTCACACTTATATTTATTTTATTTTTTTCTAAAATTCCCCTCCCTCCCCCACAGCGAACCTCCATAATAGGCCCTCCGCACATGCGTACTGGACGCAGAGGGTGGGTTTGTGTTTTCAGACCTCGGCGGAGAAACTGCCAGAATCTTCCGCGCCACCCACCACCCCCTCCCCACCCCCCCGAGGAATCACGTCTATAGATTATGTTATATTATTTCTCCGGGCTCGCCGGGAGGGGGAGGGGGACGGAGGTTTTCCTGCGGCCTCCCGCTCCCTTCCCCCACCGACGCGCGCGCTATTATTTTAACGGTTTAACAATGCGAGGGAGACCGGCCCGGGGGGGAAGGGATAAAAATTGGTCTCGGGGAAGAACGTAAAACAAAATGGTGAGGATCAAAGCGGCGGCGCCGGAAAACAATGGCAGCCCGTCACGGCGCGGACGCGCACTCCCGGGGAGCGGGCGCCCCGGGGGGCGGAGGGCGAGCTGCAAAGTCCCCAAACTTTCCCTCAGAGCCGTGCGGGGGCCGCGGGCCGCTCCGACCCGGGGGCCGGCGGGGAGGTGTGAGCTGACGCCCCTGGGGTCCCCGCAGCGGGGCCGCACCAAGCCCCTCCTCGGCCCCCCGCGACCCCGCGGGGACAACTTCCCGCTCAACTTCCCCGCTCGGGTGGGCCCGGCGGGGCGCGGGGGGCTCTACCCCGTGCGCGCCACACCCCCCGCTGTGCCCGCAGGGCGCCCGGTCGCCCCGCTCGGCCTGACAGTGGTGCACACGACGCGTCCAAGTTCGCCGCGGCCCCGGGGGGCGGCCGAGCGGCCGGCGCGTGCGGCCCGTCACCTGGGGCGGCCGCGCCGTCCGGACGGTGACAGGGAGCCGCGGCCACGGGAGACCGCCCCGGGCCGCCGGGGTCACGGGGGCGGGCGGGGGCTGCCCTCGACACAAAGGAGCCCCGGGGCGGCCGGGGCGAGGGCGGGGCGGCCGCGCACTCTCCGGCCCCCTCCCCGCAGGGACTCCGGAGTGACCCGGGGTCTCCGCGGCCAGCGGGGGCGGGGGGGGGGCGGAGCGCGGTCGCCACCTGCCCCCGGCCGCCACCCACGCGCCCTCCCCCCGGCCGGCGGGTCCCCGCTCCGCTCCCCCGCCCCCGCGCCCCGCGCGCCTCCGGTT